ATAGTATCTTAGAGCAGTTTTGATTTGCATTTCTCTAATTGCTAGAGATGATGAACATTTTTTCATATATTTGTTGATTGTATATCATCTTCTGAGAAGTGTCTGTTCAGGTCCTTGGCCCATTTATTGATTGAATTATTTGCTTTTTTGGTGCTTAGCTTTTTGAGTTCTTTATATACCTTAGAAATTAGTGCTCTATCTGATGTGTGAGGGGTAAAGATTTGCTCCCAAGATGTAGGCTCTCTATTCACCTCACACATTGTTTCTTTTGCTGATTGTTTCTTTTGTTTCTTTTTAGTTTGGATCCATCTCATTTATTGATTCTTGATTTTAATTCTTGAGCCAAAGGAGTCTTATTAAGGAAGTTGGGGCCTAATCCCACATGATAGAGATTAGGGCCTATGTTTTCTTCTATTAGAAGCAGGGTCTTTGGTTTAATTCCTAGGTCCTTGATCCATTTTGAGTTGAGTTTTGTACATGGTGAGAGATAGGGGTTTAATTTCATTTTGTTGCATATAGATTTCCAGTTTTCCCAGCACCATTTGTTGAAGAGGCTATCTTTTCTCCAGTGCATGTTTTTGACACCTTTGTCTAATATAATATATTGTAATTTTCTGGATTAGTCTCTGCGTCCTCTATTCTGTACCATTGGTCTACCAGTCTGTTTTGGAGCCAATACCATGCTGTTTTGTTACTATTGCTCTATAGTATAGTTTAAGGTCTGGGGTAGTGATGCCACCTGCTTCGTTCTTCTTGCTAAGGGTTGCTTTAGCTATTCTGAGTCTCTTATTTTTCCAGATGAATTCCATGATTGCTTTTTCTATTTCTATGAGTAATGTCATTGTAATTTTGACCGGAATTGCATTAAATCTGTATAGTGCTTTTGGTAGTATGGTCATTTTTATAATATTAATTATGCCTATCCAAGAGCAAGGTAGATCTTTTCATCTTTTGAGGTCTTCTTTGATTTCTTTCTTTAGCATTCTTTAGTTTTCATTAGATCGTTCACCTCTTCCGTTGATTCCTAAGTTTTGTTTGTTTGTTTGTTTTGAGGCTATTGTAAATGGAGTAATTTCCCTTTCTGAGGATTTGTCACTGATACACGGAAATGCATTTGATTTATAGGTGTTGATTTTATATCCTGCTTCTTTGCTGCATTCATTTACTAATCCTAGAAGTTTTCGGTGGAACTTTTAGGGTCTTCTAGTTATAGAATCTCATCATCAGCAAAAGTGCCATTTTGAGTTCTTCTTTTCCTATGTGTATCACTTTAATTTCTTTCATCTCTCTAATTGCACTGGCCAGTGTTTCAAGAACTATGTTAAATGGAGAAAGAGGGCATCCCTGTCTGATGGCATCTTCTATTTCGCCACTTAAAATTTATATGTTTAAATTATGTATATCATCCTGATTCACTTTGGGCAAATTATATGACTTTAGAAATTTGTTGATGCCAGKTTTTAGAGGGAATGCCTTCAATTTTTCTTTAGAATGATGTTGGCCTGGGGCTTAGCATAGATAATCTTTATGATGTTGAGATATGTTCCTGTTATCCCTAATCTTTCTAGTGTTTTGAACATGAAGAGATGCTGTATTTTGTCAAATTATTTTTCTGCATCTATTGAGATGATCATATGCTTCTTATCTTTAAGTCTATTGATGAATTACATTTATTGATTTCCATATGTTGAACCAACCTTGCATCCCTGGGATGAATCCCACTTGATCGTGGTGCACGATCTTTTTGATATGTTTTTTATTCAATTTGCCAGAATTTTATTGAGAATTTTTGCATCTATGTTCATTAGAGATATTGGTCTGAAGTTTTTTGTTTGCTTGTTTGTTTGTTTTTGATGTGTCTTTGCCTGGTTTTGGAATTAGGGTGATATTGGCCTCATAGAATGAGTTTGGAAATGCTCCCTCTTTTTCTATTTCCTGAAATAAATTGGAGAGTATTGTATTGGTATTAGTTCTTCTTCAAAGGTCTTGTAGAACTCAGCTGTGTATCCGTCCAAACCTGGGCTTTTCTTGGTTGGTAGACTTCTTTCTGATGGTATCTTCTGTTTTGCCACTTGAAATTTATGTTTAAATTGTGTACATCATCCTGATTCACTTTGGGCAAATTATATGACTTTAGAAATTTTTTGATGCCTTCAATATTTCTATTTTACTGGAATACAAATTTTCAAAATAATTTCTAATTATCTTCTGTATTTCTGTAGTGTCTGTCATGATATTTCCTTTTTCATCATGTATGTCAGCAATTTGAGTTTTCTCTCTCCTTTTCTTTGTTAGCATGGCTAAGGGTCTGTCAATTTTATTTATTTATTTCAAAGAATCAACTTTTTGCTTTGTCAATCTTTTCAATTGTTTCAATTTCATTGATTTCAACTCTGATTTTAATTATTTTCTCTCTTCTGCTTTTGGTGTAGATTTCTTCTTTTTCTAGGGCTTTGAGATATGATAATATTAAGTCATTTGTTTGTTGACTTCTTCTTCTTTTAATGAATGAACTCCATGCAATGAACTTTCCTCTTAGAACTACCTTCATGATGTCCCAGAGATTTTGATATGTTGTATCTGTGTTCTCATTCACCTCCAAACTTTTTTTCATCTCCTCCTTGATGTCTTCTGCAACCCATTGTTCATTCAGTAGCATATTATTTAGTTTCCAGGTGTCGGAGTAGCTTTTATTTTTTTATATTATCACTGATTTCTAATTTCATTCCATTATGACCCCAATTCTTTTCAAGGAGGAAGTTTTAAGGAAACTCAAAGACAACAGGGGATACAAAAGCAAAGAAACTGGAAGTTAAATCCTGCAGCACCTACAGTTGGAGCAAACACTAAATATAGCGTGATTCCTAACCAGATTAACATAAAAATCTCACCCAAAAGGTTTATTTGCCTTAGATGCTATTATCAAATACAACATGATCAGCTTTTATCAAATAATTACAAGGAATGATAAAATATTAGGGGAAAAAACACAATCTGCGGAGAAAAAATAAGCACCAGCTGCAGACTCAGATATGACACAGGTATTGCAATTATCAATATAGAATAAGTATGATTACTAAGTTAAAAGCTCCCATGGAAAAAAATACACAATGTTATACAGACGAGCAATATAGGCAGAAAGATAGACATTCCAAGAAAGAACCTACAGTACATGCAAGAAATCATAAATTCTGTAACAGGAAGAAGAACTTTGATGGGCTCATCAGACAATGATGTGGCTGAGGAAAGATTTGTTAAGTTTAAAAACTCGCAGAAACTTCCCAAGAAGAAATGCATGAGAGAAAAAAGAGGAGACAAAAAAACCCTCATAATAGAACCTCAAAGAACTGTGAGATGATTTCACAAGGGGTAATATACATGTGATTGAATTATCAGAAGGAAAAGAAAGAAGAGAGCAGGAGAAATATTTGAATAGTGGCTACTATGATCCGAATGTATATATCCCCCTAAATTTACATGTTGAAATCCTAACCTTCGAAGTGGTGGTACTGAGGGGTTCTTGGGGGAGGATGGCATTCTCATCCATGAGATTCTTACCCTTTCCTAGAGCCCCTAGCAAGCCTGCTTGCTTCGTCTGTTATGTGAGAACATGCGAAAGTGACCTCCATGAGAAACAGGCCCTCAGCAAACACCAAAGCCCAGGAGAGCTCAACAGCTCACACCAGACTTCAGGAACTCAACGTCTGCTCCCCACAGTCTAACAGCCTGACACACTGTGCTTCCCAGAGAGAGGCTATGTCCCTTGGCCTCACTGATCTGGGTCACTCCTGCAGGAGTTGACCAGCCTGATCACACAATCCCCAAAGCAGAATGGGCTGGGAGCAGGAAGTCCAGGCAAAGGGAGACAATTCACATTGAATTTAAAATGCTCTCTGTGCTTACCTACTGCCCCCATCTTCTGTAGGCACTTGGGGTAAAAAGTTTGTTTCCCAGGTGTTGGTAAATAATATAACCAAGTCAATTGTTCTTTCTGCAAGATCAACAGGGTCTATCCCTCCCCACTTCCTTGTCCCCTCTAGATCCAATAACCTTGTCACTGTCCCCTTAAATGCACCAGGCAAAAATGCATTGACTCTCATTTTTTGAAATAATTGAAAACCTCGGAGAGATGAACTCATAGCAACCTGGTTACATCTTAAAAACATGGCTCTGAGTTGGGTAGGGAGGAAAGGACAAAGATGATATATTGCATAAATTGAAAATGCATTCACTCCAAACAATACACATTTTCCAAGAATAGATGCCAACAAAAAGATATAAACCCACTAAATAGTTGCCTATGGAGATTGGAGTTAGAAAGAGGCCAGAGTGATGAATGGTAAATTAAAACACTAAAAATATCATACAAATAAAGCACACTAACTCCCCAGTTCTCAACCCCTTGCCTCATTCAGGCAATTAAGAGGATCCATATATACCAGGTCCTTACCAGGCTATTTGGTACCCTGTCCTCTCTCCCTTTGAATGCTTCCTTCCCCATTACTCTTTTCTATTTTCTCTAAGACCCCCAAACCAATTTCTTTATTCAATCACTTTCTAGAGATCCTCTTCCTGGCACTCTTATTGACCTCCCTGATTTCTCAATTTCTAGACCCTTCAAATTCATCCTGATCTTCATCCAGCACCCATCACCAGCCTCCTGCAGAGAGAAGCTTGACCTAATGAGAATCAGCTGGAATATAGGACAAACAAAACAAGTCCAAAAGACCTTTGCTTTGTTGAACCACCTCCTCTCTCTCTCACTCTCCCCTCCTCCCCTCCCTCCCTTCCCCTTTCCTCCCTCTCTCTCACTCTCTCCCTCCTCCCTCTACCTCCCCCACCACTTTCCCTATTTCTCCTCTCTTGAGGCACTACTGCAGGCGATGGCAAGCCCTGCCAAGGCCATTGGCGGTCACCAGCCCAGGACTCCCCTTCTAGAGCCTCCTCCCCCTCCTAATCTCAAAGTCCAGCTGGTCAGTGTTCAGTTGGAGCCCATTTCCCCACTGACCTGCTTCTACAGGAGTTTGCTTCCTGCCTGGGAGAAATGACTTCAGCCTGGAGACATTTGCAGAGAGCCTGGTGCCTGGAGACCTCCTCTCCCAGGACCTCCAAGTTGTGTCCCTCGCTGAGCCGTGAGTGGAAACCAGGGGGACATGGGTCAGCAGAGGGTCAGCAAGAAGGGAAGGCACAAACTCTGGAGTCTGTTGTCTGGGAATTGGGAATGTTAGAGCTGGATAGGGTCTTAGAAACTGAGCATGTAACAGTGATTTCCCATCCTTTCTTATGCCGTGTCCCCTTTCCATAGACAATATTTTCTAATGCCCCTCTGTTCTGAAATGAAATCCAGGGATAATAAAACCTGACAATGTCAAAATGAGAATGGCATGCTATCTTAGATGTATTATAAAGAAGTAATCAAGGGAAAGCAATTCAAACTAAAGCATTAAATTCAATATATAGATGCCCAGGGATGACCATTTTAAAGACATATCCTCACAAATTTTTACCTTGCCCCTAGGAGGTGCCCTCACCCCACACCCACCCTATTACTGACAAGGAGACTCAGAAATGCAGTAAATTTGCCCAGAGTCACCCAGGCACAGGAGGACCAGACCCCAGGCTCTCCCCTTCTGCTCAGACTCTCTTCTTTCCGCAGCAGAAACAGTAAATGTGAGAAGACCTGGGGCAGCCAGACATTGGTGGAATTCTATCCTATGTGCTGGTGATTTTCACATGGATCTTGATTCCTTAGAACCCCACTACATCCTAACCACTTGCTTCCTGCAAACACAAGCTTAAGCAGCTGTCTGTATGTTTCTATGCCAGAGTAGCATCTTGTGCCCCACACGCCCCAAACAGTCAAAGGGGACCATTTTCCATTCTCCATGATGGTCAATTTTGTATTCATTTTTCCCTCGTCTTTCCTGTTTCTCTCTCCTTGCTTCCTCTCCTTTTTCACACCCCCACCCCACAATTGCAATTTTGTGAATATCTGCCTGATGATTTCAACATATTTTTTTTCACCTTCACAAAATCTGGTCAGTAAATACCATAATCCCATTCCACAGATGAGGAGACAGAAGAACAAAAAATAAGAAGAATTGTGGTCAAAAGCAAAAGCATGGAAGTGACAATTTGAGATTAAAAACCAGATCTGTCTGACTCCAAATGAAAGTGATCCCACCATGCCCAATTTTACTCACACTCTTTCTTTTGAGTTAGAATTCTCTTTTCCCTAATTCATAAGGTTTTTCCAGGACATCATTTAACCCCATTTTCTCAGAAGGAGTTAGAATTATATCAGAGTTTTATGCTCAGTAAGGGGAAAATTATGCTGAAAGTACCAGTAATTCACAAAGTGAGCGATAATGCTCTCTTCAATTGGCCCTTTCCCCTATTCTACCCCAGCCTCTGAGCTGGGCTAATGGTAGCAGCCAGTAACTTAGAAATGGCAAGTGAGGCTTGGTAACTAGAGAGGGTTTTTATTTTGGTTTTGTGTTGTTGTTGTTGTTCTGTTTTTTTAATCTGTAATTTTATTTTTTATTGATACAACAGTCATACATCACACACATAATTCCACTCATATATACATTCTAGAGTGATCAGATCAAAACAATTGGCATTTCCTGCTCCTTGTCATCTCTTTCTGTTTGGAGCCTGTGAACTCCTCTCTCCTAGCTCTTCATGACATTTAGGCTGTGGTGGACTATGTTCATCCCACCGTGCTGTAGGACACCAGAATTCATTCCTCCTGTCTGTTTTTTGATACCCTTTCCCCAATCTCCCTTCCTTCTCCTCCCCACCTTCCCAGCCTCTAGTAATCAATGTTCTACTCTCTTCTTCTTTGATATCAGTATTTTTAGCTTGCAGTTTGGGGAAATAATGTGCAGTATTTGTCTGTATCTAACTTATTTTATTATTTCACTTAATTCAATGTCCTTTAGTCGAAATCATTATGCAGCAAATGACAGGATTTCATTCTTTTTATAGTTAAATGATATTCATTTTTATATACACCACCTTCTTTTAATCTATTCATCTGCCAGTGGTCATTTCAGTTGATTCTATAGCTTGGCTAGTGTGAAGAGTACCTCAATAAACATGGGTAAGCAAGTATCTCTTTAACATGCTGATAACATTTCCTTTGTGTTCGTGCCCACAAGTATGACAACTAGATCATATAGTAGTTCTATTTTTAGTTTTTTGAGAAACCTCCATACTGCTCTCCCACAATGGCTATACTCGTTCACATTCCCCCAACAGTGGATAAGAGTTCCCTTTTCTTTACATCCTCTCTAGTATTTATTATTTCTTGCTGTTTTAAAAACTAGTCATTCTAACTGGGGTGAGGTGACACCTCATGGTGGTTTGATTTGCAACTTTCTGATGAGTAGTGGTGTTATGCATTTTTCATGTACTTTTTGGTGCCTAGAGATCTGATCAACTCATTGGGAACTGCTAGATGCAGTTCTACCAAGCATACTACAAAGAAATAATCTTGTAAACTTGTGCCACATAGACATGAATGCCACATTCTTCACATAGTCTTTCAAAAAGTTTTGGGGCCTTTGTGTCTACTTGCTTGTCTACTATACCTATAAATATTTCTGCTTGTGTTTGTTCATCCAAATGCACACTCATAAAACACACACTTGGACTTGCACAGAACACTAGCACTTGCAATAAATGCATACTTCTTGAGCACCTACCATGTGCAAAATGTACATTCAAATTACTTGAGCATCTATTATGCACGTTGTTGCAGACATGGCCACAATGAACAAGATAAAATCCATTTTCTTGTGTATTTCAGAGGTGAGACAGGCAAACCAAGATAAACAAGTACATATTTTTTATATTTTAATCCAATATAAAGATACATACTATGAATAAAAACAAGTTAAGAGAATAGAAAAATAGAATGAGGGATTGAAGCAGATAAGACCTCCATGTGTTAAGTGTTGTCAGATATGCAGAAATAAATAAGCCATAATTCTGTAGTAGCCACATATCTGCTATATGATATTGATATACACAAAATATTCAGCCTTGCCTATCTTGATAGGTACAACCACTTTTTGCTAAAGATGTTTACAAAGTTATAAAAGCAATTTGCCTTCAGTATAAAGAATGGAAAAAATTCTTGGTGTGCTGTTTAAAATTGCTAAGGCTGCAAAATTTATATAGTTTCTCGGTAGGTGGGGAATGTGCTCCAGTGTGCTGTTTTCCTAACATAGGTCCTCTCTCTCACAAACGAGGGGTGCACAGGAGAGTGCATGCATGATAAATAATGTCCATTTCCATAAGAAAAAAAATTAAAATTAGCCCCAAAGGGAGGCTTCCTGCTTGTACCCCTCACTGCTCTCAGAAAAGGCCCACTTCCCAAAGTGGGGAAAGGAAGACCCAGCAGTCCAGAATCAGGCAGCTCTCTCTGGCTTGTGAACAACTATAACTTCAGCAAAAGGGCATGTGTCAGGAAGACAAGAAGGAGCAGAAAGAGGGAGAAGGGGCTGAAATCACCCACAGGAGGTTGAGGAGGTAGACAGGACTGGGCATGAAGAGGGGTCAAGGAGGGCCAGGCAGGAGTAGCCATAATATCTGGAAGAAATAGCTTGATAAGCGTTTCACCGGTGGAAGGCAGTTACCTGGTGTTTTGATCTGAGTACATAAAATGGGGCAGAGAAATAAGCGTGTTACAGAGTTTGTCAGGGACTGGATGATACAGAGCAGCAACAGAGAGTATCCCCTGCAACTGAGAGACAGTTTATGAAGGAGAAAGGATCTGGATCATACCTTCAGGAGAAGGGTATGAGAAAAAATAATTCTCCTCTAACCAGTCACTGTACCTCACAGCTCTGGACCCCAGCAGTTTCAACAAGCCTCCATGGAAGGTAGGTAGCTCAGATTCTCAACAGTGTGAGGGTCCCCAAAACAGGCAAGGCCTCACATTTAATGTCATTGTCTTGGCTCCAAGATAGGTAGATGGTAAAAATATGCCTTTCCTAACTCTTTGACTATCCTAAGTATCAAATAAGATACCATATGAGACAAGTGCTTTGTAGTTACCTAAGATGCTGGCAGAAATCAGATATAATTAGCATTTTAATAAAGCACATTGCACGCCTTGTGTGTTTTTCAAGCATTTTGTAAACTTATTTTTTTTATGAGGGCGAGGAAGCCCTTGGTAAATATACTCTATCTCAGTTGAAAACTGATTGTAGATGTTATAAAAATCTTTATCATTACAAAGAGAATTTTCCTGAAAATTTCCAAAGGCCCACAAAAAAAATTGATTTCTCTCATTTATCTTGCCCAACAGTTTTACCATTTTGATGTGATTTCAGGAAAAGTAAGCAAAATTAAAGCAATATGGTCTGCTGTGAATTCTCTGTGAGAATTAAGCAACTGAGAAATTAAACCTAATTGACCTTTGTTATACTAGAGAGATATTATTCCCTGAATTGAATTCTCTTTTAATGTCTTGAGCTATATGTGTGAACTGAAGTAGAAATTGTTGAATTGGATGAAAATTAGCAGTTGTCATTTGTGTTTATTCTAAAAAGGCAATATCAGATCAGTTAAAACAATAAAAAGAGACATAAAAATACCTATTTAGAAACAGACCTGGAATTCAACTGCATTAACCCAAATCTCAATTATCCCTTCCCCCAACCAACCCCTTCACACCCATACCTACTTGAACATAGGCACCTGCACAATTTCCAAGCATATGAGAAAAAGCTTTATTAACCCTCAGTTCTTATCCTGGAAACACAGGTTATTTTGAATAAAGACTGCATATACTTATCTAGATATTTAGATTTTAAAAATTTTTTGGAAAATAATAAAAACTAAAGCATTTTCATTTTTAAGCCATCAATTATCATTATCATTACAATAATTTTTGAGTTTTTGTTTATTAAGTGGATGGTATGAAAGGAAAGAGATTTTTTGGGTATTTCATAGATTTATTTTACTTATTGACTAATTTTTTTCTCCTTGATTGTTTGTTTTCTGCTCTCTTCCTTCATCCTTTCTTTCATTCTTTCTTTTTTCTTTCTTTCCTCCATTTCTTCAGGCACAATTTCATGTATTTTATTTACAGACTTCATGCCACCATCGTATGCTTATCTCCTTGGTGCATGAATGAATGAATGAATGAATGAACATTTAAAATTCATGCTTTCTTTATCAAGTCTTTCCAACTCTCTTCCTCCACCAGCCTACATTCATAAATCCTATAACCTTGGAGTCAAGAGAACATATAACTTCTTCAATGGGAAACTCCAATTTTACAGATAGGAAAATGAGATAAAATAAAGGGATTTTGAATTCTCAGAAAGACTCAACAAAAATTTTCCATCTCAGAAGAGTAACTAATGCAGAGAGGCACAATAAAAAGCTTTTCAAAAGGTGAAATTCTCAGAAATCCTAAGCTATTCTTTTGTCATTTCTATGCACAGATAACTAAAAGCCACTTGCTTTAAAGTAAGAGCAAATTAATGACATTAGTGATTATTTAGAACTGAAAAGTGAGTGGGATCTCTTTGAAAGAAAATACATTCAGAAGTGCTCCTTTCCAGCTTCATTGAAAAACACAATTGTTCACTTCATTGAAAAACACAATCGTTTTTAAATCCAAATGTGTTTCTCAGGACTGTGACTTCACAGTTGGTCACGCAAAACACGGGCATGTCATCCAGGCACACAGACCTTCATACTGCTTAAGAACCATGGCTTCCTCAGCAATTTCTACCTGCAAAATTATCTTGATATTGACCTTGGATCTTCATAATTAGGAGCATTCTTCTCCGAGAGCACTTACAAGGTCTCCAGACACCTCTTCCTGCTGGGATTGTCTCTGATTCCATTATCCCATCCCACTGCTACAGAGAAGTCAGAGTCTGCGCTGGCAGGAAAGTAGGAATGTGGCCAACCGGCGAAAGGTGGCCAACCAGTGAAAGGTGGCCAACCAGTGGCAAGGAACAGCAAGCAGTAGGCTGGGAGCCAGAGCTTGCAGTTCTGTTCTCATTCTTCATCGAACTCGCGTTGTGACCTTAAGGAAATTAACTTACCACTTTAGGCTCACCTATAAAAATTCTAAGCCTCCTCTTTGTTGCACACATTTAATGTTCAACTTTTCTCCCTTTGTCACAGCGCTTTGTCAGCCTTTTGCTTGGGAGATTTTGTCTTCCAGATCTATCTGCAGGTATTTGTTAACACTGCATTGCCTAACACCTATTGCCCTATAAGAAGAGCCAACAGTCATTAATTTCACACTTATCAGAAGCCACTGTGCTCTGGGACTCTGGCGGTAGACTTTTCAGAGCCTGGAAACTCCTTTATTGACAAAGTGGACGGACTCTGGAGGCACACAGCATTAGCGGAGGTCTTGCCCACTAAAGAGAGGACCATAGTCCACATGGGTGGGAGCCACTAGGGGGAGTTTGACTTGAGATCCCCAAGACTGAGGGTTGCAGTGGGAGAAACCATGACTTCCCCCAGTTCCCTTGCGGCCTTTCTGAACTAGACATGAGAGGAAATATCTACCCATGCCCCAGAAGATTTATTATTGAGATATCTTAGTTTTTAAATCCAAATTAAAGCCTGATTCAATGATTTTTTTTAAAAAACTAGGAAACAAAATTGCCTAAGGACCTTGATTCAGGTAGCTATAGGTGATTGTCACAAACAGACCTATGTCATGTTTAGTTGAGGACCTAACTCTCTTCACTTTCAGCAGATGCTTCCTGGATATCTGGAACCAAGCTTGGTCTTCATTCAAAACCCAAAATGCCACCATGCGACTTCCTGCCTGAAAAATACCAGGTAAGACTCAGTGCTTTGGGAAAATCCAAAGAGGTGGTTCCCCTTGGAAGATCTCAGTTGTTTCTTCAAGAAGGACACACACACAAATGGCCCTGCCTGCCACTCAGCAGCCCCACCCCAGGTAGTCTATCCTTTTATTCACTGGGAGCATCCAAACCTTCTTACATCATTTATTACTAGTGTATGAACTGATGCACAAGCACTAGTGTCAAAGAGTACAAGAAAGAGATCATATGTGACAATACACATATTGCAGGGACACACACATATCCACAAACATGAGGACATGCATTTGCTTTAAAAACTTCTTTTCTAACTCATAAAGCAATGAATAATCTGACCTTCTTTAGTCCTCCACCAAAAATTATACAGCTATCTTGTCAGACTAACAACTAGTGGGTTCTCTCTCTCTCTCTCTCTCTCTCTCTCTCTCTCTCTCTCTCTCTCWCACACACACACACACACACAGAGAGAGAGAGAGAGAGAGAGAGAGAGAGAGAGAGAGAGAACAATCCCTTTAGTCTACATAATAATTATAGATCAGAAATTATGGAATCAACAGTCAGGGTGAATCTACAAAGAGGAGAAACAAGGGAGAAAAGTTTTATAATTAAAACACTAACACTAACAGTACTCCATTTATTTTTTGTTGTTGTTAAAAATAAAAAGACTAATGCAACAGAAATGACATTGATTTACTTCCAAAGTGCCCCCCTTTTCCATAGTTAAAATCAACTCAAAACTCAAAGCTTTCCCATTGAGAGGTAGAAATTCTAGTCCCTTTCTCCTGTTTTGCTCTACAAAGGGGTCAAAAGACCACAGAGAATCATTTCTGCTACGTAAGAGAACTCGTTTCTTGCAAGAAGGGAAATAGGTAAATACAGCCAGGTGTGAGCCCCTGTAGGGCAGCTGTGTTTGGTTCCCTAGAGAACCGCAAGAGAGAAGAGGCATCAGCATATTGACCTGCTGTTGCTCTTGTAAGAACTGCGGGGGGGAAAAAAGGAAAAGAGGGATTTTAGTCTCCTCTCCCTACAGTCTCTTGCCTACAACCATATCCTGGAGATCCACAAGAAGCATCTTTCTCCTGTGGCAACAGCATATTTCCAGAAGCCCTTGCTCCTACACCAGGGACACATGGAATGGCTATTTGATTCTGAAGGCAACAGATACCTGGATTTCTTTTCTGGGATTGTCACTGTCGGTGTTGGTCACTGCCACCCGTAAGTATCCTTAAAATCCTGGGGTTTTAACTCCAGAAGAATATATGAAAACAATCATGTTAGTGACTTAGAACTCTTAATTTGCTCACTCTAGTTACAAAATTATATATATATATATATATCACGTGGATTGTGGCTGACATACTCCCATACTTTTCTGAGTTAAAAAAAAAATCTTGACGCTGCACATTTCTTGACAAGTTTTTGTCATTCTTACTACACATGCAGTGTGGCCGTACCATGTGATTAGTACATTTCTGTGTGTGTTTCTCATTAGTCACAGTTTTCAAAGAGAGGAGTGCATTGAGGAAAGGGCAGAAAGAAAGAGAAGGGCAGGTGGCTCTCAGCAACAGGGAGACAGGTGTGTGGGATGAGGGATGATGAGAGGCGAAAAATAATTTCTATCCTGAGGATCTTCATGGGCACTGAGAGACAGATAAGGGGAAAAAGGATAATAAGAGACAGATGCAATCCTTGCTGCATATATGGAGCAGTTAGTCTTGAGCTTGTCTGAAGTCTTGATCATCAACTCACCCATACACATGCCCTCGGCTGGTTCCTGTGTAGCCATCTCATTTTCAGGTCTGTTCTCCCTTGCCCTTAACAATCTGGCCAATAAAACTAGTATGAAGTGAAAAGGATAAAAGGCAGCAGGCCTAAAATAGATTGAATATGTTGAAGCCCTTCCATCAAATCAGGAGTCCAGGGGTCTCCTCCTCCAGCACCTGTCAGGAGGTGACGAGTGAGTGCTGCCACCAGACTCAGCCCTCATCCTCTCCATTGCCTTCTCGCTCCTCTTTTGTGTTCAGGAGGCACCAGTCCCATATGACATCCCAAGGAGCATCCAAAGATTTTTCAGATGCAACTTAAAACAGTATGAACATGTATGAAAGAAGTAGAGAAAAATGCAGTCGAGAACAATTTTAAACCCTATTTCTGAATCCTCCCAGTAATGTTGACGTTGTCCCTTATGGTCCTAACACTTGCTGGCTTTCATGACCTCTGTATACTTCTGATCTCCATCTGACTCTTCCCTGCTTATTTATTTACCACATTTCCAGTTACCTTACAGAACCTCTACCTCTTCACCCTTTGTCCCTCTCGGAGTTATAATATGTATATAAGCCCAGAGCAGACAGCAAGATGTCCCCGTATTTTCCATGATCATCTAGGGTATCTTTCATCTCATGATAACCCACCAGCATCTCAAATTCAACATTTCCAAGACTAATCCATCATCTACATGAAGCTCTTTCTATTCACATATTTATTTGTTTAAGGAGCCCCTATGAATAGCAGCTGTATTTCTCAACTGTTCCTGGGGTTTGCCCAGTATTAAGAGCAAGGATATTGAAGTTATCTTTGACCCTTTCCTGCCTTCCATTCTTCATAGCCAACCTGACCCCATAGACCAATTTTTCTTCCACTGAAATGCCTCTCCTACTGGGCTGGCCCCTCTCACTGGCTCTCACAAAGCCTGTTCTAGGATTTCTTCCTTTCCTGCAGTGGGAGGCCACCATGCCACCTGGCTATCCTCCACACTGCCAGTAATCCCCTTCATGTGGCTCTTAAACATGTTTTTCTAAACAGTGTTGCTGCCAAATTTCTCTTCTGAAGAGTTTACTGACACTCCATAGTTTTTGAAAGTGAGATTTGTGGAACACCGATCAGAGGAATCCCATGAGAAAATAGGCTTAGAAAACATTTCAAACTCTCTCTTCTCTGGAGAAAACCATTGTACATTAGCCTATTAAGGGTATTAACATATCCCATGGAAAAGAAATCCATTTAGTCTGTTATGTCTCAAAATTACTGAGCCACTAAACTGATTTGTGTGTGTGTGTGTACAATAGATATTAACAAACAGAATTGATGTGAAACAAACTTCAGCAATTGTTGTCCTTTAGATTAAATTGAAAAAACTTGGCCTGCCTTTCAAAGGCCTTCCAAGAGGAGCTTCACATGTCTACTAGTTCCTACTATCCACCAATAGGAACCTTCTGACTCTAAGATTAGCCTGGACTTCAGAGAATGTGTTTTTAATCATTAAAAATATTCATCAAGGGTGCTAGGATTATGGCTCAGTGGCAAAGGACTTGCCTAACACATATGAGGCACTGGGTCTGATCCTCAGCACCACATAAAAATTAAATAAGTAAAATAAAGGCATTGTGTCCATCTACAACTAAAAAAGTATTTTTAAAAAAGGTTCATCAACACTGACCACTGCTCAGACACTGGTGCCGGAATCTCCTTTGAAGGACAAAGTGTCTATCTTGCATATTGTGCTTAATAGATCCATAACTCTTTATGAAAACAAAATGGGAAGACACCAGTCAGCTCTATTTTCCAACCCGTTCAAAGGAAAGTTAATGAGAAAACACAGAAGAAATTCTAAGCCTGAACTCCCTCCTAAACTAGGAATTTATTTCCTAAAATCCATAACAGACAATCATGGAATCTCCCCTAACACGTATCTCTGGAAGGAGTTCATTACCTACTGAGGCGACACATCTCCTTATCAGACAGCTCTAGTGGTTAAACATTTTTCTTGTGTGTGGATGAAATCTGCCTCTTGAAATCCCCAGAACAGCCATCAGTCTGGGTTCAGTGGCCATTATGTGCTGGAAGGACACACCTGGTGGCAGTGTGGGTAACTCTGCTCTCCTGTGATTCTAGGAAGGTGAATGCGGCTGCACAAAAGCAGCTCGGCCGCCTGTGGCACACGAGTTCTGTCTTCTTTCACCCTCCAATGCACACATATGCGGAGCAGCTTTCCGCACTTCTTCCTGAGCCTCTTAAGGTATGGTGCTCCCATCTTAAAGGGCTAGGAGTCTTGAAAGCCCAAAGGATCTGTTCAAGGAAGCCAGAACATGAGCAGGGAATTTGTTCTGTGCATTAATTGTCTGTCATGGGGAGCTGATAGCCATATCTGAAAGCAATCAAATAGAAGAGAGATCCAAAGTTATAGTTCCATAGAACTATCCCATGTGAATTCCTGGTGAAAGGAGCCAATGTTTACTTACACCCCCTCTGAGCCTCAATCTGTCTTTGGATGCTCTACTTAACCCATCTTTGCAGAAATCATTTCCCAGGAGCCCCAGTCCTCCTGACATTCTCATCATGTCCTTAAGAACTTTTCATCTCTTTGCTCCTTAGACCTTTAGCAAAGTTATTCGCATCCTTCTTTTGCAAGGAGTGGAGTCATTTTATATAAATGCCATTGGTCTGTATTTTGCTAAATGTGATAGTTTTCTATATTTGAAATGGCTGAATTTTTAGGCTGACTTGAGATGTAAAAAAATGTTGGCCAAGATTTGTATTTAGTTATTAAATAACTTATACATATGAGGAACCTAGTGTCTATATCTAGATACTCCACTGTATTAATCTAGAATAGACAAAGAAACTTGAGGTGATGGCAATCAAACCAAGATGTTCATAGAAGAGCAGAAGCAGGATAGTCTGCAAAGTCATGCACACATGCCTCCCCATCTCAAGTCTGGAGGACCCAATTCTCTTCAGTTCTCCCTCTTCTTTTATCCAAGCTGAGCTGCCTTTGATTATTTGTTTGTTCACTTGTTTTTTCAACATCCACACACGCAGCAGAGTTGATCTGGGACAGCCCCTGGAATTGCAGGTTCAGGAATCCTATCCCATTCCAGCCTTCAGAAACAGATGAGGTGTGTTATCTTCAGAAGCTGAAAGATTTCATCCTTCAGTACACCCAGCCACTAACCATTGTGGCCCCTCAGAAAGTCTCGCCAACTTAGTTTATAGATCATCAAAGTCAACAAAAGTTCAGAATGTTCCACAGCTGAGACAACCTTTCAGCCATTTTTGTATTTCTAGCACTTGACAGCTGCTCAGTGAAGTTAATAATAGGACTGCTAGTTAACCCAACCTGATCTGAAGGGAACTCTCCTTAACAATCAGAGGCTGCACAGTCTTTAGCAATTTTGAATGAATTGAACAATATAGGGAGCTAAATTAAAGCATGAGGTCATGTGTCTTCCTTTCCCCTCCAGGTCATTTTCTTGGTGAACAGTGGCTCAGAGGCCAATGACTTGGCCATGCTGATGGCGAGGGCACACTCCAACAACACAGACATCATTTCTTTCAGGTAATCATACCTCAGAATATTTAATTTTAGAAACGTTGACTTATCCCAATACTAAATCTGTCTCTAAATTGTTCCATGGAAACAGGAGAGAAGTTTTTCCAGGAGTGACTTTCCAGTGTTAAATTTGAGGGGAAGACTTGAGGAGTGTGCTAGCATTAAAATAATAGAGAAATAAGATTTATTAAAATCATAGAAAACTGATATTTTTGTTTACAACGTCCTGCCTTAGAACATTTAAATAGACTCAAAAGGTTGACATAACACATGGGAACACTTCACAGTAAAAGTTGATGGAATGAAGAAATAGTCCCATTTTAACCTGTCTGTCCAAATTCAAAGAAGACTTTATATGTCCTTTATATGTGTAGTATTGCACATGCAATACTACAAATGCCATAGAAAACTCACATGTAGCTATCACAAGCAAAATGAAATGTTTGTTGTCAAAGCAATATGGCACTAAAGAACTGTGATGTTTTACCAAAATAACAGCCAAGATATACATATCTAAATAAATATCATCTATTTGAAGAAGTCATGGTGCTACCATGATTTAGTACAAACTGTGTCTCCTCTTTGAAGTATGTGACCATTCTCACCAGTAGTCTTAAAACTTTATTTAAGGGTGATTTTGACTTCAGAAATTGTCAAAATATATTATAATGATTTATACTAAATATGACCAGGTCAGGCTCAAAAAGGCACAAAACCTGTATTTTTTATATGCCAAGAAGGCTGGTTATAAGTCACTTAGAGGATTCTCCAAAGATAGAAAGCCATCCTTTCATCATGGAAACAAATATTTGTCTTCCCAAGATGACTAGCCCTTGTTGAACATAGAATTTCTGGCATGTTGCTAAAAGCCACGTTTCATTCCTTTAGCATAATAGAGTGGGGAAGGTCCTAGAGTTAGGGTTCTTGAACAGATGGTCTTCAAAATTCCTTCCACAATTCCAAATCCATGGCACCAGTCAAAAAGATAAATAAGTTCCTTCACCTGACATGGGCTTAAAAGAATAGAAGTCATCAGATTTGAATGCTTGTGTTGTTCTTGTTTATCTCTGTTACTCTCATAGATTTTTTTTATTTTGTTCTGTCTAAGCTAGCAACCAAAGAGAAGGGAACTTGATCCAATTCTCCCCTTGTATTTTACAGAGGGGCCTACCATGGATGCAGTCCTTACACCCTTGGTATGACAAACGTAGTGGCTTACAAGACGGGACTCTCCAGTGGGATGGGTTGTCGATCAGTGAGTCCCGAAATTTTTAATTTGTTCCTGTAAGGATTGATGTGGATAATTGATCATATTTTTTTTCCTGATCTTCATATTAAACTAATAAAAAGTCAGTCATTAATCAGAGGCTCAATTTGCCTTAACTGAATTGAAGACAATTTGGGGAAAATTTAAAAAGGGCATCAGAGTCTGAGTAATAATTAATGACAGAGTTTTTAAAATTTATGTAGCTTGTAAGTACAATCAAGTAAATTCAAAGCCCAGAGAACCTTGAATACACAAAATTTCTGTCGTTGTCACTGTTCTAACCCTCTGTTCTCACATGCTGCACCTGTCTTTCCAGCATCATAATCAGATACCTAATTATCCTTATTCTTTGGGATGCCCTTATCCACCAAACCCTTGAGAAAGTTGTTTCTAGACTGACATTGTAATCAGTTTTCCCTGTAGAGTGACCGCATAAGTGATTTCCAAGAAAAAAAAATCTCTTCAAAGCATAATATTAGATTTTCATCCTTAGTAAGGAAGAAGTGAGGAAGAAATCTCAATATCAAATTAAGAAGCCCTCTTGCCTTGATTGCTACCATCTGCTCCTCCAAATTGGCTGTCTTGTGTTCATGTTTTACCAAAATCCTTCTTTTGTCATTTACAGACAATGTGCCCAGATGTTTTCCGTGGTCCTTGGGGAGGAAGCCACTGTCGAGATTCTCCAGCACAAACAATTAGGAAATGCAGCTGCGTACCAGGTCCATTTGGGCGGGAAGGAAGGGATGGAGTGGAGAGACAGGAGGGACAAGGAGCTTGGAGAAGGGCAAAACAGTCCCTGAGTGAGCAATCAAGTTCAGAGAAATGGGAATGGGAAAGGAAAAAGCAAAGGAAACAAAACTAAAAAGTAACCAGTGACACCTTGTTGAATGCGCGCTTCTCATGCCTACCACGACCTTACCATCTGGAAAATGTAGGAAAGGCATCTCATGCTATCAGAGCTACACTTTAAAGTAGATTACCACCTGGCACTTAATTAAACTTAATTAAAAATTACATCTGTTAGCAATAACTCTGGTATCAATTTTAAAAGAAAACCAGGCAGCAGGATTATTTACCAACTTTTAATGGAAAAAGGAGGAGGGAAAAGTATACTTTGGGTAATCTCAAAACTCCAGTCAAGTTCTCCAGGGACCCAGAGTGCCAGCCAAAGTGAGAGAATCTGTCAAAGCATGAGGCAATTCCTGAAGACTGCAGATGCCTCTTGCAAAAGTTTTAAAGGCATCCTCACAAGGAAAACATTGAGTTACTCATCACATTTATATTTGTATTCTTTACTTATGGTTAATCTGAAGAGAGGACACATGGAAGCATCACCTGCTCTTTGCTGGTTAGCAAATCCTGACTCAGATTTATCACTGGTATATTTCCAATAGCTGCTTCTAAGTAGTGCTGGAGGAAAAAAGCTAATTACTCCAGCCAAATGATCCTCAATGGAATGGTATGAGTCACTGAGTGGAGAGGAAGAATGCAAGGTCAAGTCTTCAAGAAGGAAGTTTCCCAGTCACCTTAGAATTCCTATGGGTAATGGCAAAAGGGAAGAAGAAGGATGAAAGAATGAGCACTGGAACAAGATAAGATGTTGTGATCACAGAGCTTAAAACCACAAGGAAGTTTAAAGCTACCACCCAAGCTCATCATTTTAAAGATGAGGAAACCAAGATCCACAGGTAGGAAGTAGTAAAGCTAGGATTTAAAAGGATAGGCTAGGTCAGCTCTTCTGATCCCAAAGCCAGTGCTCCCAACCCCTATGACCACACTCATTCACACTAATGTGCCAGCAAGGTGAACCTAAGCTGAAAAACATTTCCTGTTCCAACCATAATTGAGGAGATGTATTAAGGAGATGCATTGAATTAAGAGTCATAGATTCCACTCCCAATACTGCCATGTCCAGCTATGAGCAAAATCTTCATTCATCTTTTGCATCAGTTTTCTCTTTCTTTGCAATACCTTATCCCTCTGCTCCAAACACAGCACTTCATGAGATTGAGGCATATAAAGTTTTCTATAAAGGAAGGTGATGAATAGCAACTTAAATTTCAATTTTACTTGCCTTAACAAGTAAAGCCAGGCATGTATATAGCATCTGTATGGCACAAAGAAATGAAATCAGTTTGATGCAATGCACAGACCTAGGTCTGTTTGCACAGCCACTTGCAGAGTCCAGTAGACAGAGCCTCAAGAGCCAGCCACTTCCCTACCCTGCCTTCCTATCTCTCTCCTTCCCTGCATCCTCCCTTTTTGAGCATTTCTGCTCTACCCTAGACCAGCTTGAAAACGCCAGGCCACCATAGTCATCTCTTTGGTGGCATTTAGAGACTAAATTATAGTGACAGGTGTACATTTTTGCTTCTCTGAGCTGTTTTTGGTGTATCTGAAGTCAGTTTTCTTTATTAACTCATCTTCAAGGGACAAGACAGATCACATATATTTAAACAGGATTGAAATACAAAACGCCCTCTTCTAGGGCCTTTAGAACCCAAGAAGTTTTGGTCTTTGTTTTCAAACTGGTGTATTCACAGATGCATCCCAGCATATAAGTGCTCTGAGTACAGATGGTTCCAGTTCTCAGTTTCTCTTTGTTCACTGGATGCATACAGGAGCCAGCTATGGTAGAGACTTACACCTGCTATGTTTAAGTCATCAAATCCCAGCTTATAAGGGGCCATTCCATGAACCTAGTGTAGATTTTATGTGGTAGATTTCATTCTCTTACTCTATCTCCCCAGGATCTTTTTTTCTCTCCAGAGGTTTATTCCAAAGCCCCAACTTTCAGATATAACCGGGGATGAAATTCATCTCCATCACACACTGCCCCCCTCAATGTCCTGAACCTGATATTAATCATTTTATTCTCCTTTTGGAAGGAAACCTTCCTTTTCCTTAAAAATTGTTGTTCTTTCTTGGTTTCTGACTCTGCTTAACTCCTTCTGTATCACCAATTAATATAGACTCTCCCACAGCCACTCTGCTGTATCCAGCAGAGCAGCCACATCTCCTTGATGTTGTCATGGAGACACCAATGCACCAAGTCTCTCCAGATGTGGCCTGACCTAGAGCTACAGCATTGAACCAATGAAGCAAGTGTGAAATAAAGAGATGAACACAGTAGATGACCCCTTTCATCACTGAATGTGTGGGTGGATCATGAAATATCTAGCATAAGTTCAAGCAAAACTTTCCCTTGTATGAGTTTCCCAAAATTTAAGCTTTGGGAGTTGATTTTGCTGATTTCTCTGGGCTTGTTAAATCTCCAAATTATGTATTTTGAACATATGTCTGATCCATCCTTTAGGGTTACCCAAAACACCCAAAGGAAAACACTGTTTTCCTTTCCTAAAGAAAAAAAAAAGAATTTCAGCATAATTTTATTTTTCCCCTTCTTCTCTCATCAAAATGACATAAGTGGGGCTAAAAATAATCTACTTTTTAAATTTGATATCCTTTTCTCCTTTCTCGCATCCCCAACCTCCAACCTCCATATAACCAAAGATATCAGGTAGCTCTCTCAGTCAACCTTTCCCAAATAGCACATGTACCCTAAAAAGATGTCTGAGGTCAGGTGGTGTTTTTCCCACTTTTTAATGAAGAGCTGAAGAACACAATGTATTCATGGTTTCATTTGATGAGGATTGCTGGCAGTTTGTCTTCCATATCTCTAGCCATCAGGAGACAGGCTGCAAGAGGTAAATGGCAGGTGATGATGCCCCCGTACACACTCAGTCTGCTTTCTTTGTCAAGGGTCTGAGGCTCCTACCCCATCCATATCTCCTTCTGCATTCCTCCTGCTGACCACAGAGATGCTGTGGTGCTGTCTAAGACAAAACCAAAAGTATGGATAGAAATTCTGAATGTTTAGTCACATACAGATGCAATTGAGCTGGAACCTTGGTATTCCAGAGTAGAAGGCTTCCTCTCTCACCTTACCGGTTCCCTTAGTTGTCCCCACCTTCTGGGACGACATACTGATGGTGGCTTCTAAAGCTTGGGCAACCCTCCTAGACAGTCTTCTCCCTCCTCAAGTTCTCTCCCACCCACAGGATTTCATGCCTATCTATGTGGTGAAATTTACAGCTAGTGAAACATCCGTCATGCCCATCAGGAATATGTTGAGCATCTTTAAGCAGGGTGGAAATGTAAATATGATTACTTTTTAGACATTTAGGTTGGGTGGCAAACCACTGCTGGTAGTAATATGAGAGCCTGAGTTAGCTCCAGGTAAAATCAAATGAAAATCCAGGATAAAGTATGAAAACACTCCCTCTGTATAGCATGATTCAAAAAAGTAAGAATTCTCAGAAATCTCTGAAAATCAAATATTACTTGATTAATAGAAGTAAAATATTTCTTATAATATACACATATATAATATTCTGAACTCACCTATGACAGTCAAAGTTCCTATTTATACAAAAACCTACTTAATTTTATACAACTAAACTCAAGTACATTACTTTTAAACCTATTTAAACATAAGCCAAGAAATAAATATTCCACTAGCCAAAATACACCTGTAATTAAACTAAAACTAGCAAAACTGGGAACTCAGAGATTACTCTTTTCTACACTTTTTGGCGGGGGGGTGGGGAATCACATCAAGACCAAGTTCTTACTTGGAGAAAGGAAAATTCTTTATTCAGGAGAGCTTATTTTCTCTTCTATCAAGGTTATTTTTAAAAAATAAAAATGAAAGATAAAATGAGTCTAAAGAATGATTAAAATGTTCCCACCTACCTGTATAATATACTCCATGAGATATTCCTTTTTTTAATATATATTTTTTAGTTGTTGATAGAACTTTATTTTATTTATTTATATGGGGTGTTGGGAACTGCCCAGTGTCTCACACATGCCAGGCAAGTGTGCTACCACTGAGCCCCAGCACCAGTCCCAGCCCATCCATGAGAGATTCTTCGGCTAAAGTATTCTTACAATTCACAACTTGTTCTACTAGACCTGTCAAGACAATCTAAAGGGGGTAAAATGTGGTTAAAGGTCATTTTCAAAATCCTAAAGTACTCCACTAGTAACACATTGAACTACTAAGTTAAAATCATATTTTAGATTTTTCTTACCCATACCTCACTTCTAAACTTTGAAAATGTCTTTTAATTTTTATTAGTTCTTTTTAGTTATATATGATAGTAGAATTCATTTTATCTTTGAAATTTTACAGGTGTCTTAAATTTTAAAAATTGTGGATTTCTAAAAAAAAAAAAAAAAAAAAGAAAGAAAAAAAAATCAAACAAAAAAATTCTCAGAAACCCAAAATGATCATCAGGGTACTGCAGCCAGCTTTTGCCTAGGGGGCACTACACTTTTGCCTAGGGGACCCTATACTTCAGTGTTCATAGCTCTGTGGAGTGCAGGGCAGAGATGACAAAGTCCAGAGCCCAGACAAAGGAAGGGATTGGATAGGGAAGGCTCTCCAGCCACAGAGCTGGAATTCCTAAGAGGCCACATCCTTGTAGGTCAACTACAAGTAAATGCACCAACAACTCATCACATGCAAAAAGATCTTCAAGGATTCTCATCCTTGTGTTTAATGGAAGTGAAGAGGACCTGGTAGGAATCATCACTAAAAATTGAACTACTGGCTGATCATCATGATTGATGATGATGATGATGGTGATGGTGGTGGTGGTGAATGAGAATGATACATGACATATACACAGGTTTTTTTTATACATGTCACTACCTCAAGCTGATAATTGAGAGGAATCTTAGGCTGGGAATACCTGTGTGCCCAAGAACTGCAAATGCAAATATGCTCTGGAGAAACCTAACCCATTCTAGGCTGCAAAGAATTCTCACAAATGAAATCTGGAGGAAAGTAAAATACCCATAGTCAAAAACAACTAACGTACAAGGAAACAAAACTTCACAATCAAGAAAAAGACCCATGAAGATTTCAACACAACTGTCAACACAACGGACAATAAGATGAATATGTTTGATGTATTTAGAGAAAATAAAATATACTGTGGGTAGGGAATAAGTAATTATAAGGAATGAAAATGCAAGTTTTAAAAACTAATATATCTTCTAGTAATAAAAAAGAAAAACTAGCATTTAAAATTCAGTGGTTGGGTTTATCCACAGATGAATCCAGCCAAAAAGAAAATTAATGAGTTAAGGACTTAGAGGACACTTTATTCCCTAGAAGAAAGACTTTCAAGTGAAATTGCTCAATGTCTCACACCAATCACAATTTCTACCATTTATTTCCCTATTAATTCATTAAAAATTTACTAAGCAACTACAGTGTACCAGACACATTTTTGATTGGACACAGATTCTAAAAATGAATAAGACACAGTTCCTTCCCTCAGTTAAAGAAAAAAAAGGTGTGTAGACAACAGCACAGGATCCAGTGTCCATGACTAGCGCAGATACCAAGTTATCTGGTTCTAGCACATTCCTCCATAGCCTGAATTCCAATTGTTTTACAGACACATTAACTAACTCTGAAGACAGAAACATTTTGTACTTTAAAATTGTACATCATATTAAGTTGTAATAAAAAGTAAATGAGTTATTTTCCAAATAAATAGTCCAATTACATTGGAATTGAATGCATTCACTTGAGAGGATGGATAACCTTAGATAAAATAGCTAGCTATACCAGACTCATTGAGAAATGAGGCATTTCTTCCCCAGATGGAAATTATTTAAGTGGTTTGTTCATGTCTCTGTGGCTGTCCTAATTGGTATAATTGGTTCACACAGAAACAAATGTCCTCATATCCTAGCTCACCATTTTATGAGGATCTCTAACCAATTTGCTCACCCTGTTTCTGCTTCTTTTCTGTTTCTCCCCATTCTTCTGGATGCCTTCCTCAGATCTTCAAATGCTGTGGTTTGTGTGTTTATTTGTTGCAGACTGCTGCCAAGCTAAAGAGCAATATATTGAACAGTTCAAAGACACTCTGAACACTTCTGTGGCCAAGTCAGTTGCTGGATTTTTTGCAGAGCCAATTCAGGTGGGTGTAAGAACCGTACACATTAGTTGATCAGTGTCCAATTATCAGAGAATTTTAACTCATACATGGTCAACAATTTCAAATTAATTAAATGCCCATTACTATATCCCTTTTCAAATTCAATTCATTGCCTTGGTCCCTTAAAAAAAAGAAAAGAAAAAAAATAATGTTCTGGTTTTCTGTTAACCTTTAAAGATCCATCTCCTCCATTCCCACACTGAACAGATACATAAAGCTACTGAATTGCAACAATTCTCAGGAATAAGGAAACCCCAGTGGTTTTTATGTGCTTAACACCCAATGTTTTCAGGGGGAGTTTTCTTAAGTTTCACCAAATCCCCTTATTCTACTTTCTTGTACTCTAACAAAAGAATAAAGTTTGTTTCCTTTTCCCAAAAAGCATGACATAATAGTAATGGCTCCTTTTCTCACCCATGGTTTGAACAGTTCTGCAGGCTGTTTAAAACACTGCTAACATTTGCAGGTAAATGGATGGAGTTGGAGAATATCATGCTAAGCGAAGTAAACCAATTCCAAAAAGCCAAAGGCTGAACATTCTCTCTGATAAGTGGATGCTGATCCATAATAGCGGGAAGGGGCATGGGAAGAATGGAGGAACTTTAGATTGAGCAAAGGAGAGGGGGTGAAGGGAGGGGGTGAAGGGAGGGGGCATGGGGGTAGATAAGATGGTGTAATGAGATGGACATCATTACCCTAGGTACATGTATGATTGCACAAATAGTGCAACTCTGCATTGTGTACAACCAGAGAAATGAAAAGTTGTGCTCCATTTGTGTACAATGAAATAAAATGCATTCTGCTGTCATGCATAACTAGTTATAAAAAATGTTTTTAAATGTTTAAAAAAATAAAACACTGCTTGCATTACTATCATGTTATTAGTGATAATGATCCATCTTCTTTTTTCTAAAACTGTGAAAGGTCTTTGTGCTGATGTTACAGGTCTTCTTGGTTTGGTCTTTTGCAGGGTGTGAATGGCGTTGTCCAGTACCCAAAGGGGTTTCTCAAGGAAGCCTTCAAGCTGGTGCGAGAAAGGGGAGGTGTATGCATTGCCGATGAAGTGAGTAGCAATCCGAGGGTGTAAGTGGGTGCAATGGGAACAAGACAGTCACAGAGAGAAAACTCTTCAAATCCTCCTTGGAATTCCAGGAGGAAAGCAGCAAGTGCACAAACTTGGGAGCCTGACCTTAAATAAAGGAAGCTTCTTCCAGTTGGCTGGCTGGTTTGTTAGTAGATTAGTTGGTTGGTTTAACAAGTACAATAGAACATCAACATCCAAGGTGATGTCTGTCAAATAAGTTACTAACAGGCATAGATTATGCTACCATTACTATATGTGTTTTTTTTTTAATTCTTTTTTTGGGGGATTGCTACAAGAACACTAGCAAATCATATAAGAAATTTAATCTCATAACCAAATTTCCATCTTAATTTTTACCAAATTAATATTAATATTAATTTTTATCAAAATAATATCAACCAATCTGGCAGCATATACTTTTCTGACTGAACTTGCCTGAAAAGGATAGTTTTATAAATTATAATCCAGTCAAGTGCCTCTATTGCTGACATTTAGAAAATAGTGCTTGAAAAATTGCAAACTAGTAGAGACAGCACTGTTGTATTAAGCACACAGTATGCCCAACAGAACTACTTTGAAGACAGTGAAACTCATGGGCTATATGAGTTCTAGCTCATGTTTTTAAAAGGATGGATCTACTTATCTACTTAGATTATACCTCATATTACAGCATATCAAATAAATCAGACTTTTGTCATCTGACTTTTGTCATCTGAGAATAGCCAGGAGATAAACAGCCAAAGAATGGCCACCAGGCATGGATGTCCTCCCAGCTCACTGCAAGGTGACCCTTCATGATTGCACTAATACCTAGCTAGACCCACCAAGGACAGGTGGAGCACTTGTGTTTCATGCCTGTTTCAGTTCCACCATCTGTACATGAACAGTTTTCTTTGAGTAAAAATTCAACTGATATTGCACTGTCCCTTGGCAGAGATTTTGTAAATGCCTGTTCTTTACGTGTACCAGGTGTCTGTTATGCCCCCAGAGTCCTGCTGCCCTAGTGTACTAGCCTGACTTGGGCCAGGCTCCTCCTGCAGTGCTCATCCTCCCTTCTCCAACCTGCTGGTAAACTAAGCCAGGACTTACCTGAATAAAGTTCACCCGCTAGTCACAAAAGAAAACTAAAGTCAATCATTTTGAAATTAGTTACATCAGGGAAGTGGATGAACTTTGGCATCTGAATCAGCACATAGTGAGCTGCCATGGGGGGACCAACTAGAGAGAAGGTGGGAGGAATTCAAAGAAAATAAGAATTTCAGAATTTTTCAAGAGATGTGGTTTCATGTCTTTCAAGAATATAATTGGATGCTGCTCTCACATAGGGTAACCTTAAGGCCTGTCCTAAAGACTGTCCTAATGAATTTGAAATTAACTGCTTTTAGGCAGATTGCACGTTCAGAGTCCCACCTTAACTCTGTTATAGACCCAGCTGCTCCACTTCCAGGAAGGCACTTGAGGTTATTCGCTTGGGAGTGATCCATCTCTGTCTTAATATTGATTCTTCCTAAGTGACTAATCATGGTTTACTGCTCTGCACAATTTTGTTAATTGTTCAAGTAATTTGATGTTTCACCATTTATACCATCTACTTATGGCTCCTAGATAAAGTAAAAGAGGAAGACAGGCAGAAAGACAAAATGTATAGGCTTCACTACAGTATCTCATTTGGGCCAATTAATCAGCTTTCCCAAAGGCCCATGACTAGGAAGTAAAAGACTCAGGATTCCGCCCAGATCTTTCTGACTCCTACACGTAAGCCCTTCTCCTACACTGGTTAGTATCATCTAAGAATAACCCCAGGAATCTGCCTTTGTTGCAGAGACCAGGAGAGATTAGGGAAAACAAGAAGGGAGCCTGAGAAAGAAACTTGCTCTTTTAATTGAATATTAGAATGAGCTTCTTCTATACCTAACCCCCACTTGCAGTACTCATCCTCTCTTCTCCAACCTGCCGGTAAACTAAACCAGGACCTATCTGAACAAAGTTCAGGTGTGTACATGTGTAGAGACAGACTGAGAGACTGAGTCCGAAAGAGATCAAGTTTACCTTCACCAGAAAAGCCCTGTCAGAAATTTTCATGGAGATATTTGTCAGGCTTTATTCAATTAAGCATTTCTGCCACCCCTTCATTCATTCTACTAATATTAAGTGTCTTTCGTATCAAGCACTGTGCTAGACATTGTGCATAGGGGAGGAATAAGGCAAGGTCCCTGCTATTGGACAAGTGCAGTGGAGATGAAAGTACACAGTGAGAGGTTCTGATGGCATGTACCTGGAGTGGGAGCTCAGGAAAAGCTTACTAGACCAGATAATGAGTAAGCCTGGTTTTGATAGACATGAAGTTAGCGAAATGAAGAAGCAGGAAAGGGATCTTCCAGAGAGAGAGGACATGACACACAAAAAACTAAGGTTAACTTTCAGTCCAAACCACTGCAATTTCTAGATAACAGAAGTTCAACTTCTGAATTAACTGGATGAGCTGGGCAGAGAAGGAGGGAGAAGGACAGGGAGAAGAAAACCAAAAAAGAACAGAGACTCAGATTTTTAAAAAAATCCTTAAAAGGTTTCCAATGATTTTGCATCTGTTTTCATCAGGTACAGACAGGATTTGGAAGGTTGGGCTCTCACTTCTGGGGCTTCCAAACCCATGATGTGATGCCTGACATTGTCACCATGGCAAAAGGGATTGGGAATGGCTTTCCCATGGCAGCAGTTGTGACTACTCCAGGTAGGACCCCAAAAGTTTGTTCTTGCTCCTGGCCCTCCTGCATTGGCATATCAAGCATACAGGTAGAAACTTATGTGGGTTGGAGGCCGTCACAGGAACTACATGATGCATTTAACAAGCAAATGAAAGAGAAACAGTCTGTCTGCCAGACTGTGGGGCAGATGGAAAAAATCCAGCCCTTTTGCTTTAGGGAAGACTAATTCTCCCTTCCCCACAATTGAATGCAGGGTCCCACCACACTGATAAAGGATAGGAAAATGTGCTGCAAAATCAAAACAAGCCCAACTCTGGAACTTCTAAGAGTCACAGTCTTCAAAAAGATTCTTATATGATTACCTGTGATTCAAGGTTGGAGAGACAGATTTCTCCATTCAAATGTCCAATGAACAAAACAGTCAAGTACAAGTAAAATCTCACTTACCCAGAACATTCTATGAAAGGAATGTTAGAATACATATTCCATGGAACTAGGCTTTGCTATGTGTCATTTTTTTATAAACCATTGATTATTGAAGCTCTTAAAATTATTGTATTTATATTTCCCACCAATAGTAAGCACATTTGTAAACCACTAATTAGTGCCCCTGTGATATTTCACTGTGTTTATTGAATGAGTACATGTCCAAAAATATGGTCAACGAAGGTAAAGTACAATGAATATGACCAACTCTGAAATAACTGGAATCACGTTACTAGATTTTGATGTGAGATTTTTTTTTTCTTGATACTTTATCTCAAGAGTAGAACTCAGGGGGGAAAAAAACAGGTTTAGCTAATTTAAGGTTCTATACAAAATTCCCAATAGGTCCAAAATTTCAAGGTACTTTCCCACCCAAACAACACACTATAAATTTTGTTATTAAACTTCTCATTGAGCAAGGAAGCTCTTTCTCTTTGGCCCCTGTATTAGCTCAAGCTGACAAGACAAAATGCCACGCTGGGTCTCTTAAACAACAGACACTGATTTTCTCACAGATTTGAAGACTAGAAGTCCAAGATCACAGTGCCAACAGGGTTGGTTTGTGTTGGGACTTCTCTTCCTGGTGTGCAAATGGCCACCTTCTTGGTATATCTTCACAGAGCCTTTACAACAGGTGCCTTCTCAAAGGCACAATCTCCAAACAGTCATAATTGAGGTTAGGTTAGGGTCCATAACATCCTATTAGTGAGTGATGAATGAATGAGCCCTGATGCCATTTCCTAAGTAAACATAACCACAGTGGTGTGCTGGGAGGTGACAGGTAGGAATGTGTCACTCTATCCACTTTTTAATTTCTACCCCTAGAAATTGCCAGATCTTTGGCTAAACGCGTGCTTCACTTCAACACCTTTGGAGGGAACCCCTTGGCCTGTGCCATTGGATCTGCTGTGCTCGAGGTTTGTTCTAGCACTCACATCAACACTGCACATTTCACAGAATATCTATTTGAAAACCACCCAATGTCAGAACTCACACGTTGCATAAATTGCATAAAGTGAAGAGCTAATTAAATATTCATCAACTTCAGTTAGGTTTCCAATTATTACTCTGCCTCCCCTCTTTTTTAAGTTCTGCTTTGGGTGCTTAAAGTATATTAGATAAGAAATAATACATAATAAACCCCACATACATGGGAAATATAAGAATTTGCCTCACCAGGTGGCAATGTTATCTGTATAGTGTCTTATGGATAGTTGCTAACTTCTATACATCTTTTTATCTTAATTTTAGCCTTTAATGTGTGTTTTTCTTCCTTTCTTTTATTTCACTGTCCTAAATAATGAAAAACTAAGTTTTATGTGGTTACAACTAGTAATTCAGGTACTATTAACAACTGTTCATCCCTATACCATTGATTTAGCCTTGTATTAGCATATTTTCCTCTTGAAAAATGTTGTTTTAGAAAAAGTCCTTTCAAAAATACATAATATCATTTGCTTAGATAAGTATAATGTATAGAAATGTCTAAGAAGTTCATAAATTTGTAGGAATGGAAACTGGCTGGGGTGAGGGGTCAACAGGATTCATTCTACCATCTACCCATTTACACTCTAAAATTTTTGAAACATGAATATGATTTACCTATTTGAAAAAATTGAATTTAAAAGTACTTTGAAATACAAATAAGTAAGTTAAAACTATTTTGCTAACTAAAGATTTATCTTCAAAGATGACTAAGTTATGAGATGAGAAAATGTGGGTAGAAATGTGTCATTTATTTTATTTTGTATACACTGCTAACTCTTTTTTTTTTTAAGTGCTGTGTCATCTCAACCAATTTAGAAAGCAGAGAGGGTTTAAGTGAACCAATAGGTCTTTAAAAATGTCAAGATTTGCCTGGAATAATGCAATTACTATCATCTAAATATAAAAGTACTATATTTCATGTGTCTTGTCAAGAATCATAGGTGTCTGCTATGAGTAGAACTTAGTTGAAAATCCTTTAATATCTTCAGGTGCCCTGGCTCTGGGTAAACACAGGGCTCAGCTCAGCTAAAGAAGGCAGGGTCCCAAGGTGGGGCACTTAGGCTATGAGAGCTTGGGTCAAGCTGAAGGATGCAGGACAAAGGTCACTCACCCTCAGCAGAGAAAGCACCTGTGAAATTTCTTTCCACAGAACATTTATATTTTTTATCACTGCACCCTAGTTCAGCAAAGACTGGACATATGAAATTCTGGATTATGGAATCTATGTTACTGACATACTGACACATACCTTATATTCTCTCCTAAATTTTTCTTACTCATCCCTGAAAGTGGGAGTGTTTGGGAGAAGCATCCTTTTCACAGAGACTTTTTAATTGCTTACTGCAAATCTTTTTGTGTTATCCATGGAGTGTCCACACTGGACATTCTGGGTTTGGTGTGTCTGGTTACTGTAAGAGGGTTATAGACATTTATCTCTCTGTGCTTCTCAGTCAATCTTGAAATTTTGGCCACATAAGCTCATTTGGGGCTTTTTCTCAACAGGTGATTGAAGAAGAAAAACTACAAGAAAACTGTCAAGAAGTTGGTACCTACATGTTACTGAAGCTTGCTAAGCTGCGGGATGAGTTTGACATTGTTGGAGATGTCCGAGGCAAGGGCCTCATGATAGGGATAGAAATGGTGCAGGACAAGGTAGGTTCTGATCTGGTGGCTACTCAGCTCCAGCAGGAGGTAGAAAGCACCAGCTAAAAACACACTCTTTTTTCACTCTTGGGAGAAGGAGAGGGTGGCATAGATAGCAAGACTCAGTGAAGCCCTTCAGAGAGAGGGAGGTAGTATTGACTTTGAACAAAATGCTAGCAGATCATGCAGATCTCGTCGACACGAGAGTCCATGCCACTAGGAAATTGTGACTTTTCTCCCTAAAACAAGAATGGGATGCTGTAYGGAGAGAAGAGAGGGGGAATCTTGACAGGGCCAGGGGTTCCCAGAACAATCTCATAGCCCTAACTTTTATCCACAAGATAGAAAGTGGGCAACTGATTCCTTGTTATTTGGTCTTAACCATACCCTTCTACTTTAGAAGTACTGATTCTCAGTTCTTATAATATTCAGGTCACACCATAGACATAAGACTCTTCATTAATAGTCAGTACAAAGCTGGGATAGTTAAATAGAATTGAAGTAAAGTAACCTGAGGCAGAGCCCTCTGGTTCATGAGCCGCATCGTACTTATTATCTTCAGCTGGTCACCCAGTCAGATTGTTTTGAGTCCACCCTAGTTCTCACCTCATGGACTTCATGCAAGATATCTAAATTCAAGTCTAGACTCCAGAGAGGTAAACCCAACAGAATAAGAGGTGTGTCATTATGCCAAACCCAATTTCTGTGTGCTCTTAGTCACATGAACAAAGGTGTTCATGAGAACTTTCACAGTAAAACATCAGAATCTTCTCAAATGGCCACTGATACAAAAGAGATACATTGTGGCACATCCCTAATACCAATGGCATAGATACATGTTTTGATGTGGAAATATGTTCAAACCCCTTTTGTGGGAAAAATGAAACCAGTCCCTAAACAGTGTCTTTAGAATGAAATCTTTTTCTCCTCCCTCTGCCATATATCAGTTTTAAGCACGGGCTCCACCCAGATTAGAATCCCAGCTCCTCCTTTCCCGAGTTCTACTCTCTGTCCCCTGAATGCCATTCACTATCCTACCCACAAATGTCACCTCTCCTCTCTACCTCTTCCGTGGAAGTCCTGGTCTTCTACAAGGTCCAGTTTCATATCTTCTCCCTCATCTATTGGCTCCATCCTTCAGAGAATTCCTCAAGTACTCCCTGACAAAGGAGCTCCTTTGGAAAGATCTTCTGTACCATCTTGGACAGCTCTGACAGTGTTCCATAAACTGAGTGTCTTATGGACAACAAAAATTCATTTCTCAAAGTCCAAGATAAAGGTGACAGCAGATCAATATTAGGTTATGGTTCACTTCTTGGTTCATAGATAGCCACCTTCTTTCTGAAACCTCACATGGCAGAAGGGGCAAGGGAACTCTCTTGACCTTTCATAAGGGAACTAATTTCACTTATGACCTAATCACCTCCTGAAGGCCCATCTGCTAATACTATTACACTGGGAATTAGGTTTCAACATATGAACTGGGGTTTGGTGGCAGAAACATTTAATCTATGGCATAAACCATGTATGAACTTAGTTTTTATTGTTTAAATATCTTATTTTCTTTAATAATTTTGCGGCCAGGAAACAAAACATGTGGTAGATGCTTTGTGGATTGATTTTAGCCTCCTGCAATGCTTCAGACCACATTCATGTAATTATAACTCTGCTGTAGTGCTAGCCAGCATAATCCAGGATGATATTCCCACCTCTCATACACTTGGTTAGAATGTAAATTGGTGCAGTTCTTTGGACAGCAATTTGTTTGTAACTATCAAAATTTTAAATGTTTAGACTTTGGGTCTTGCAATTCTACTTCCAAAAATGTGTCCTAAAAATACAAAAATATATAAAGATGTATTTGAATAGGGATGTTTGCTGCATTGTTTACAATCATGAAAAATTAGAAACAACCTAAATGCCCAATAGTAGGAGATTGGACATATTACTGGCAAACAGTGAAATACTAGGTAAGTTTTAAGACTATGTCCAAAATATATTGTAATTATTAAAAGAAAATTGCATAATTTTTTTTTCAGTTCTGGGTATTGAACCCAGGGGCACTCTTCCACTGAGCTCTATCCCCAAACCTTCTTTCATTTATTATTTTGAGACAGTCTCACTAAGTTGTCTTGGCTGGCCTCAAACTTGAATCCTCTTGCTTCAATCTTCTGAGTCACTGGCATTACAGGCATGTACTACCATGCCTGACCACAGAACAACATTATAACTTATTCTTAAATATGCATATAAATGTATTTTCGTGCAAAGAAAAAGTGCCTAGTTCACATCAGATTATCAATACGAGATATCCTTAGGCATAGAACAGAGGGAGAGGAAAATTTTCAGTATTGCTTCCTGCACTTTTACCATTGGAATTTTTTTCAATAATCATGTATTATTCTTATAATTGTTTCAGTACAGATTTGTCAAAAACAAAAAGTAAAAACCCAAAGAGATAAAAACAGATGCCTAAAGCTACATTCTGCATCCAACAAGAAGTTGAATTACTTATGTGCCTACTTTGTTTTCAAGCAATTGAGACACAAGCATGAACATGAAGGCCTGAGCAGGCTGCCCTGTCACTTGGAGTTTCTGGCCCTGCCTGTCCTTGTGGAATGCAGACAAGATATTCAATTAGTCATAGCTGTTGAGGTTGGGGTGGGATAAGATGGAAAGGAAATAAGGAGGTCTGGTCCAGACCAAGGTTGGGGTGAGACCAGACAAACTCCATCTTTACAGATCCATAAAGTTGAACAAGGCCTCCACCAACCCAAGCCTTTCCAATGATGCTGGCCCCTCTGATCTCTGTTCCTTCAAATCTCACTTAACTTTGCTCCAATTCTCACAATTTAACACTCAATTATCTCAGTCTTCCTTCTCTAATAAATGAAAACCTCAGGGGCAAGCAAGAATGCATGGTGAAATCTGGAGTTCGAAGAGAAGATCTTAGTCTTTTCTCCCATCCCAGATACTCCATTACCCATAATCTGAAAGTTGGAATGTTATTTTTCTTTTCATAAAACTTTAAGACAAATTTTAAAATACTCAAACTAAAGGGGCCTTTGGAAGTCAGACACATTGCATAGTAAGATACAGACCCCTGAGCTGGGGCTATAGCTCAGTGGTAGAGCACTTGCCACAAATGAGTGAGGCACTGGGTTTGATCCTCAGCACCACATAAAAATAAATGAATAAATATATTGAGTCTATCTACAACTCAAAAAAAATGAAAAAAAAAAAAAAAGATGCAGACACCTTACAAGGAATAGAGAATTTTCGGAAAGGGCTGAATCAAGAGGCAGTGGGGAGAAGAAAATAGAGACCAAAGCACATAGGAGGGCAGATAGGAAGTGCTGAGAATGATAAAACTGACCATGGAAGTGGACGGAGCCCTTCTCTACCTGCAGGGGCTGTCAGGAGCAAGGATCATGTTTTATGTACCCAAAACCAGACAACCAGGGCAGCAATGGAGGAGGAATGCAACAGTTCCTTGCCCGGCCATCTGAGCAGCATCCGTTAAACGCAAATCCTAAGCCCAGCCCAAATATTCTGATTTGGCCTAAGGTGAATCCCAAGTATTAGTACTGTGATAGTCTTTTATGTAAGAGACATAAAATCAGACTTAAAAATAAAACATAATTAGAGGGAGATATTTATGCTCCCAGATGAAGCAGTCAGGAGATACACAGAAACACTGCAAGCTGAAGCTTGCTGTCATCACAGGGAATTGACGCGTTGAGCCCCCACCCAGGGGAGCAACAACATCAGTTACCTAGATATCTGACACCGCCTCTGGGGCCCTGAAGGGTGTACCTTTCCTCTGGCTGAAAATGAAGTCTTGTGGGTGGGGGTGGAGGGAAGCAAATTCCACAAGCGGGAAAGATGAGGATACAATGGCCCCACCCCAGCTTCCTGGCCATGCCAGGACCCAGGGAACACTTGGGCTGCGGGTGCCCTTGTGCAACTATTGAGCCACTTCCTGGACTTTGAAATGTGCCCTTTGCATGGGCAGAACACAGGGAAGAGTTGAGAAGGATTTCAACATAAATAAAACAGACTCCAAATTCAGTTATTGAGGAACCAAACTCCCAAGGTAGCCATTAGCAGAGCCAAGATTCACTGTCTATCTGTATGGAATTTCATCTGGTTCTTGGGAATTGGGGATGAAGTGGAATAAAGACAAATATTTTTAATAACACCCTCCAAAAATCTGGTTCAGCGAATTAACAGCTTTATTTAATTACAGGCTCATTCATTGCTTTCCTTTTGTTTTGTTTTCTCCCTCTTGGAAAATAGTTCTTCTAACCATGCAAACACCAATTAGGGAACATTTTTAAAATGTATTCACAGATGAGCCGCCAGCCCCTACCTCCTCAAGAAGTAAGTCAAATCCATGAGGACTGCAAAAACATGGGTCTCATAGTGGGAAGAGGCGGCATTTTTTCTCAGGTAAGAGAAAGGCTGATGTTTAACTGTCCTTTTAGGTAGGTATATCCCTGAGATGCCAATGCAGGTGGCTTTTCTTCACGACTGTAGTCTCTAAGGGGACTGCTCAGGCATTCTCAAAAGGGGCAGTTATCCTCCTTGTGGCCACGAGAGGGCGCTGTAGTGAAATGGTTTGGTTATCACGGTTCTGCAGGAAGACGATACTGGCAAGCTTAAGATGTACAGCCAGCCCACCTAATTAATGGTATGGAGAATGGTAGAGACCTAACAGTCATGCAATATACACCTTGTCTCACTTATGAGTAAGTTTTAACTCCTGTTAAAGAAATCCTAGCCATCATTGACTCAGCCCTGAGTTCTGACTTTATGAACTTGCTCACAAAGCAAGTGACCATTGTGGCAGGGAGCCACCTAACAGCCTTGGAAGTCCCAACTGATCCCTGCAAAAGAGGTGGGAGACCTACTGGGCATGGTCCCTGGTGCGGTACTCAAGACCAGATATGGCCAGTGCCCTCAAACTTTGGCTGGAAAAATCAGAGATGGAGCTCTCTCCCGGCTCCCTTCCTGGAAAAGCCAAATCCCAGCTTCACAGTCAGGACCTGCCCCTGAGCTGCTCAGTGAGGTACTGCTGCTGTGAGCTACATGATCTGTCCCTAAATCCCTCACACCGACAGGTCCCACACCAGGGATGGCCACCAGGGCAAAGATTTAAGAGTAAGAGTAATGTCATCTCCCCTAATTTGTTCTTGTGCTCTATCATCTTTCTTGCCCATTAAAAAAATATGACACATAATAATTATACTTATTTGTGGAGTACTATCTGATGTTTCAGTATCTATATACATTGTGTAATGTCCAAACAAGGTAAACATACATATCATCTCATTTATCTTTTTTGTGTGTGTGGTGCTGGGGATTGAACCCAGGACCTAGTGCATGTGAGACAAGTACTCTACCAACTGAGCTATATCCCCAGCCCCATTTATCATTTCTTTGTGGTTAGAATATTCAAAATTCTTTCTTGTAGCTTTTTAAAATGTGCAATGAATTATTGTCTATAGTTGACCAGTTGCACAATAGGACACCAGAACTTCTTGCTCCTATCTAATTGGAGCTCAATGTCTCTGACAATTTCAAACATTTCTCATTTCTGCCAATTTCCCTGGTCCATTCCTGCCTCCTACTGACATATCCATTTCTTGCCTCATACTTTCCAGAGAAAATTCGAGCTATCGGTCAAGACCTCTAAATAAACTCTAAATATTTGTTTTGTATAAATTAAATAACAAAACTTAATTATTAAAATCCTCAGCTATGTGAGTTATAAAGACATGAAACAATTGTTCACTTACTTAGCTATTCCTTCATTATTTGGCCAACATTTATTAAGCACTAAGCAGCAGGTGATATGCTGAAAACTGAAGATACAATGACAAGTAAGGCTGGTCCCTCCTTCATGAAGTTGATAGGAGAGAAAAACATATAAGCAGAAAATTACAATGCAATCTGGTAAACTCAACTTCAGATATAAAAAGAAGTGTTTAGAGGAGGACAATGGTCAGCCTTTTGGACTAGCAGACTGCTTACCAATGACCAGGGGCTGTTTTGAACATTTTCCCTGTATGAACTCATGAAATGACCTCAAAAAGCCTAGGAAATAATACTAATTATCCTTATTGAACAGATAAATAAAAAGAGGCATGGAGAGGTTAATTGCCCACGTCACATAGCTAGTAAGTGGAAGAATGAAGATTTAGAGCCTGGCAGTCTGACTTCTGAATCTCTCCTCTGATAGGAATAAACCTAAGGTGACAAAACTGGACTCAGGGAGTGTGGAGTACAGGGGGTGTGGCTGAGGATGCTGTTTGAACTTGAGCAGTGGTTGGAATTCTGACTTGGTTCAGGTGGACCTGAATGAATTCATCCTTGAACGTGCTCCATTTGCAGTAGCTTGTGAACATCTGGCTATAGTCAAGTCTACAGGGCTAAAATGAAGACCACAGCTGAGAATTTTAACATCTAAGTGGTGAGAGAGGGACAGGACGTCACACAGGAAGCCAGTGTCTAGGTGATAGGCATAGTGAGGTGTGGTAAAACCACCATTTGATGGCAAAAGGGAAAGGTGCCCAGATGGAGACAGAAAGGGGCAGACAGCATGAAGAAGGTTAGAAGAGAGTGGAAGCAAGAGAGTAGAGAGGTTCAGGAAAAAGGAAAGTCCAAAACATGAAGTGGACAGGAAGGATAAGAGCAAGAAATGCCCAATGGATTCTCCAGTTGATTTTAATCCAGTGATGTCAGAAAGTTACAGGAACAGAAACCAAACTAACATGGACTGGGATGTGGATGGGATTGGAATTGGGATGTGAAGTGAAAACTAATGCCCAATAGGCATCAACCCATCTCTCTAATATGTTTGAATAAAAGGAGGAGGACAATACCTGTATTGTAGCTAGAGGGGACCAGGAATCACTTCAGATGGTTATTTGTTGTGATTTTGATTTGGATTTGGATTGTGAGAGAGAGCTTTAAGCCTACTAGTTTAGAAGCTGAGGGAAAGTTGAAGAGAAGTTTAAAAGAAATGATAGATGCAAGAGAACTCAGGGGTGTTTTCTGGAGTGGTAGTGATGGGAGTGTCCAAGGTCAAGGGCACAGACAGATGATTTGGAGTCAAACAGTAAGGACAACTCCTTCTCTGAACCTTTGGAAAAGGACATAGATGGATATCAGAGCAAACAAGTTTATAGAAAGGTCTTGCTTGGCAGCTTCAATTTTCTCCAAGAATTATGAGGCATGGTTGCCTATAAAATAGAATGAAAAGCATGGGAGTGGAGAAAGAAAATTAAGGATATTGGAGGTCTAGAATGAGAGAGAAAATTGGTGGAAGTCAATAAAAATCTCAGAGATGGGGAGACACTGGAGACCCTGAATATCTGGTGGTATCATCGGGCATGCTCTGTGACTTTCTTAACACTTCTCAGCCAAGTGAGTTGGAGGAAAGCAGTTCAGTTATAGCTTTAATCAGGCTGAGACTGGGCCATGTGGGTATTAGCAGCATAAAGGTGGAAATGCAAGCAAACTGAAAGGGCCGGTGAGAGCATACTTCAGTCAACTGTGTGCTCCAGGCTGGTAGGAATGAAAGAAAGAAATCTGAGTAAGGAGAAAGACCTGAAGATAATGAAGGGATGAGGAGACTGGGGCTTGGGGTGAAAAGGGTAGGTATAAATGGGAATCCGAAATTGGGTTATTCTGGTGAAAAGAAGGCTCATGACATTGGTTTGGGGTGTGAGTGGATGCAGAGAAATGGAGATGAAAGTTCTGAGAGTTTGGTCCATCAGAAAAATGAAGCTAATTGGTTGGGTTCTATACGCATAGAGGGAGGTCACCTTGGTGATGGCAGTAATTGAGTGTAGAGAGGCACTCAAGATTTCAGGAAAGGTGGTAGACAGACAAGGAAGTGAACAGATGACAAAAAGAAAAACATTTGGAGATGGTTCTGGAACAAGGAGACGGAGATATGAGAGAAATGTAAGAAATGTCATAAAAACACTGTGGGAGTCTTAGTTTAGTGCATTTTCCTCAAAGTCATTTGATTCTCTGATGATTTGTTGCTCTATTTTCCTGTCTTCCCAGACCTTCCGCATGGCACCCCCAATGTGCATCACTAAGCCAGAAGTTGACTTTGCAGTGGAAGTATTTCGTTCTGCCTTAATCCAACACATGGAGAAAAGAGCAAAGTAGAAGTTTTAGAAATAAAAAAATTCAAGCCTTAGCAACTTCCCACTTCTATGCAAGAGTGAATCTGAGGAATTTCAAAACCACTGGCATTGGGAGTAAACCTGCAGCTCTCTCAGTAGTTGTAAAAGACAACTGATTGCCTCCTGACCATATTTATTAACAGAGGTCCTATTATTGAGAATTCCATCATTAGAGAAAAGGATCTCTGTCTTTAGCATAGAGAATCACTCATATTTAGTCTACAGCCTAAATTGATTTTCCTTTGCATTAATCAGTTTTGGAATGAATATGTGGTACTTTTTTGGCCAATGAATCCTAAAGGAAAATCTTTTAGTGGAGGTGCCTTCAGGGAAAGGCTTCTCTACTTTACTCTTCAGCTCAAGAAGAGATGTCTTCTTGTTGCACTGAAAACACCTTATGTTGAAATGGGATTCCTGGAACCACATCATCTGTCTTGGAGCCAATGGGAAAAGCCTGATTGCTGAGGTTGAAAGATAAATGGAAGCTGAGCATTTACTGATGCTAATGAAGCTCTGATAACCAATCCTGGAGCCACCCTACCACAGGCCTTCTTGATATATGAAAGAATAAATTCATAGTATTGCATGAGTCCTTTTAAGTTTTCCATTATTGCAGCTAAAAGCATCCTAAGAAATGGGAGAAGGTGGGCTGGGATTGTGGTTCAGTGGTAGAGCACTTGTCTAGCATGTGTGAAGCACTGGGTTCAATTCCCAGCACCACATTAAAAAAAATAAATAAAATAAAGATGTTGCGTCCATGTTGCTTAAAATATTTTTTAAAAAGAAATGTGACCTGAATTTTTTAAAGAGAGAGAGAGATAGAGAGAGAGAGAGACAGAGAGAGAGAATTTTTTCATATTTATTTTTTAATTATTGGCGGACACAACATCTTTTGTTTTTTTGTATGTGGTGCTAAGGATCGAACCCGGGTCGAATGCATGCCAGGCGAGCATGCTACCGCTTGAGCCACATCCCCAGCCCTGACCTGAATTTAAAAAGAAAAAAAAAAGAAAAGAAATGGGAGAAGGAATTTTCAGAGCTTTCTTTTCTTCTTCTCTATTCCCACTTCCATGATCCCAATCTGGTCTAAACCTTCATTACTCTTATTGCAAAAGTTTCCAAGTCCAGAATTTCTCAAACTTTAGACACGCATTAATGATATACTTGGGCACAAACTTTAGACATACATTCATTTAGAATATGCATTCATGATCCCCTATGTGTGCGTGCTGCTTGTCTTAGAATTGACACTAGTTTTTATTAAGTTAACATTTCGTTTAGATACACTTAATTATAATTAATCAGAAATCAACATTTCTGGTAATAAGGAGAAAGTAAACAGAAAAATAGAGTGAACAATAAGCAATGCAATCCAGTTCTTTCTGGTGAGACATAGATGTTTGCAAATGTTCTCAGCCTGAAGAGAATTTTGTTCAAGAGTGATGTTACAGAGTATTTGAGAGGTGTTAGAAACATATTGGCAAACTGAGACCTTCTCCTCAACATACACAGAAGAGGTTCTGGAGAACTACAAGGGACATAACTTTCTCAGCATGTGATTGGATATTTATTTAAAGCCGTGTCCTGATTTGAAGCCACATCCTGTCTACTCCACTGAAATGTCTGTTCGACTAACACATCCTACATATCACTACCAGATTTGTTTCCATCAGACAGTGATTTAAACATAGCATCCCCTTAGCACAAAACCTCCCAGTAGCTCTCTATTGTCCTCCTATATCCAAATGGCGCCAACACCTCAGAAACATTCAGTCTGGACACTATGGAAAGGTCTAGAGTTACATATTTAGTTCTTGATTTGCTATAAGTGACCTTGATTAAGCCCTTTAAATCTCTTCTTAACTTCAGTTTGTGCCCAAGTGTATCAACACTTGCCCTGGCTACCTCCTGGAATTGTGCTGGGAATCAAGTGAGCAGGGGATACAGTAGTTCTTTACAAATTGATAAACCACATGAAAAAGAAATTCAAGCTGCATTTCTGTTCTTCCCTTCACTATAATATTTTTCCCAAGGACAAGTTTTGGGCACCATTGATACTTATTTGCCTCCCATCCAAGCCCCAACCACTAGGATCTCATTCCTGCCTCTCGGTCCTTGGAAACTGCCCTCTCCGAAGGCCACTGGTGACTTCTTTATGCCCAAAACATGTTTCCTTTGAAAGTTTTTTTTTTTTCTCTAAACAATGGCTCCTTCTTGAGTAATATACTCCCCTGGTGTCTGTACTGTGGACCTTCTACCTCAGATGGCTCTTTCCCAGCTCTTTCCTGGCAACCCCTCAACTATGACAGTCTGCCCTGGTCTGTCTCTTCTTCCATGCTATACTTTCCTTATGAGCAACTTATCCACTTCTGACATCTCATCTACTTTAATTATTTTTCAAATATTTATCTTCAGTCCCAATCTTTTTTCTGAACTCCAACCTCAAAATTATAGCTCTTTGGACATTTGCATTTGGATGTCATAAGGACATTTCGGTTTTTATCTATTTATGTGTTTCCTTGTTTATTTTGGTATTGGGGATTGAACACATTAAGCTTGAGCTACATTCCCAGACCTTTTTTTTTTCATCTTAGGCAATATCTTGCTAATTTTCTCAGGTTGACCTTGAACTTACAATCTTCCTGCCTCAGCCTCCTTAGTCACTGGAATTACAGGCACTGGAGCCACCACACCTGGCTCACATGAATATTTCAAATTCAACAGATTTCACACAAGACCTACTAAGTCTTTCTCCTCCAATGGATCCCTTCTTTATTAATAGCATGATTTTTATCTCAGATTCATAATTCAGATCACTTTTCCTCCAAGTTATTCTTTTGTTCTTCCTTTAACTAAGTTTTGTAAATACCTTCTTTAACATAACTTTTCTAATATCACCCACTTATACCAAAAGTACCTCAATTTGGGCCATCATCTTCCCTAAACTATTTAAACTACCTCCTCACTGGTATCCTTCCCAATCCATCCTCTACCCTAATACCAAAGCCAAATACTTAAATCATAAATATCACCGTGTCTCTTATCCCTTCAAGCCTTTGGGAGCTCTCCACTGCTCATGAAACAAAGTCCAGACTCCAATATCATGGCATTCCAGAGCCTTCACAATTTGCTTCCCAATCAACTTTTTGAGCCATCATTCTTTCCATATAATAAACCTTGATTCTTGGTTTCTAAAGTTCATTAGAATGTACTTCTAGTGAACTTTCCATGTTCAAGATGTTCCTCAGAGTGCCAGATATCCTCTCCTGGAAAAAAAGGGCTAAGAGTTTTAGTCTTTCAGATAAATTCATATGACATATTCCTAGTTAATCTCCCACTTTCAGGGGGATGCCTTAGTGTTAAAGTGTCTTTGCCTGCTTTCTGTCACTCAAACTGAATACCTAAGACTAAATAATTTATAAAGAATAAAAGGTGAGCCAGGTGCACTGGTGCATGCCTATAATCCCGGTGACTCAGAATCTGAGACAGGAGGATCACAAATTCAAGGCCAGCCTCGGCAATTCAAAAAGACCCTGTCTCAAAATAAAAAAGAAAAAAAGTTGGATGGAAATGTGGCTCAGTGACAGTGCCCCTGACATCAATCCCCAGTACCAATGAATTATTTATTTATTTATTTATTTATTTTTGCTCATAGATCTGGAGGCTAGAAAGTTCAAGATCAGGTGGTCACAACTGATGTGGACTGTATGCTTCTCAATTCATGGTATGGAAAGTTAAAGGACAGGCAAGCACATGTGGAAGAAAGAGAACACAAGGGATGGACTTGCTTTATAACAGCCTGTTCTCACAGTAACTCATGCAGCCTGGCAAGAATGAGAACTCACAAGAGAGTGGCATTAGTCCATTCACAAGGGCTCTGCCCAAACACCCCCACTTGGCCCCACCTCCCAACATGGCAGCACTGAGAACCAAGTCTCAACCTGAGTTTTGGTGGAGACACAATGTATTCAAACCATAGCACAAAAGGTAACCAAGACCTGGGTGAAATCCCAAAAGGTAACCAAGACCTGGGTCTCACTCTGACTCTTTGAAGGGTGCTTGGCTTTCCCCAAGCTCCTGTGGATCAGGATACACTGTAACTCCTTCTTGAAGGGCAGTGGAGAACTGAAGAGGAGCAAGCACCAGAGGCAAGGGAGCAGGGAGGGCAAATGCTGGGGGTAGAGCACAGCAGGCCGGGTCATTCAGTTCTCCCATTGGCTTATCCACGTGAAGGATTCCTCCTCCCTTCCGTTTGGAGTCGTGGGCAGGAGCTTAGCACCACCATTGTTCTCGCTTCCGATTTCTGCTCTACCCACCAGAGGTGGGATATACACCAGCTTACATAAGGCAAGGAGCCCACATGCTTGCCAAGCTCTTTTTTATTTCCTTCCTTGTTAAAATAGTCTAAAGTGAAGATAATGAACACTTAGCTCGACTGAACTTTTTTCCACACGAGGAACATATTGTCAGTCACGTGATTAGAATGCAGCATTAAAAATGTTGGCCACTGTTTAAAAACAATTGAAATGCCAATCCCATCAAGAGGAAGTAATTTTTTTTTAATCACATGAAGCTTTGGTTATAGCATTAACAACCATACCGTTATTATAAAATAAGACCTATAAATTCATAATATAATCATAAACTGCATTCTTATTTGTATTATAAAAACTTCATCTTGTATATCAATGTAATTATTAACTCTCTAGTAGAGATGTCCTTCAGTGTCCTAGGCGATTGGCTCCAGGACCTTCTGCAGATACCAAAATTCAAATATTCTCCAGTCTGTTACATAAAGTAGCATAGGACTTACATATAGACGAGGCACATCTCCTGTATACTTTAAGTTATCTCCTGATAATATATAATATCTAATACAATGAAAATGCTAGTATTGTTTAGGAATCATGACAATTTAAAAAGTCTGTGTGTGTTCAGTACATATGGAAGTTTTTTAAAAATGTTTTTGATCCATACTTGGTTGAATATATGGATAAGGAATCCATGGAGAATGAGGGACCACTGTAATTCAATTGTCCTCAAAAGATCTCTCCAAACCATAGGAGAATATAAGTCCTCTTCCACCTTTCAATTCCACTCAAATCTCACTTGCTTGCAAGGAAAAAATAGAAAACATCTCAACATTCATTCCTTCATCATCAGAATATTAACAGCAGAGCCTCATAGTCAGCATCTGGAAGTAGTGTTGAAAGGTTGCTGGGTCTTGCAGCAGAAGTTTGCTACTGGCTAATTAAGGCAGAAGGGTCACTTTCAACTGAGGCACAATAGTGAAAATGGTAATAGCATCTCAACAGAGACAGAAGGGCCACTGAATTAACTGATTGAAGTTAGGGAAACAAAATCTGGATTTTATCAATCCCTTTGGGTTTAGTAAAGATAAAGTTGGTAAAGTTAGGTCAGGTTGGAGGCCAATGTAGGAAATGTTTGGCAGATCTGAAGGTGCTGGGAGAGGGATCCAGAATGGAGAACAGCCACACAGGGTGCTATGGTTTGGAAGTGAGGCGTACCCTGTAAAGCTCAC